TGTCCGGAGCCTGTGCTCCGCAACGGGAGAGGCCACAACAGTGAGAGGCCCGCGTACCGCAAAAAAAAAAAAAAAAAGTAAATGCAATCACATGCAGATGATATAAATAGTTATTTCTCCATGTACCCCAGTACAGGATAAACATTTTTGGTTTTATTCTGTGTATTATTTATTATTGAGGCCTTCAATTTTTCTTAGCCAAGAGACATTATTTCAAAATAAAGCAAATCTCTGGATTTTTTATATTTATAAAGATGCTACTAATAAAAGCATGAGTTTTTTTCAGAGTATATTTCAGTGGATGAAGTAAGGATGAATGAAAGAATGAGAATCTAGGTACCGTGATTGTAATGGAGGCCTTGGATTCATTATAATCAGGCTGGTTGCATAAAAAGAGCCTATGATGACTTCTAGTGCAGCACTGTTTCTAATGGCCACCTTTGTGATCTTGAACAAGTCCATGGACCTCTGTTTCATCACTGGAAAAAATTGATAGTGGGGGGCATGGGCAACTAAAAGGATTGCTATGATCTGTAGGCTCCTTTTCACTTCTGATACCGTTGTGTAAAAGTCTGGGAGCTCAAGAAGTATTACTGCATATTTACAGAGCTCAGTAGTTTTAGCAACAATGTAAATGCTTTGGTATGATCTGATGCCCAAGGATTTGAGTGAGGGTTGAGGGGATCTATGATTAAACATATAAATCTTTTCTAAAAAATTTGGGTTCTCCTTGGAGTACATTGAAGTCTTGATCTTCCAAATTATTCATTAGATTCAAAACTCTAAGGTGGTGTGTTTGTAATACTGGTAAGAGAAATACTCGGGCTAAAGCCACTCTCTTCTGACCAAGAGCATAAAGCCACTGTATTTACACAGCCCCACCAGGTGCCGTTTATACGGCATGTTGTTTCTCAAACTCTGAACAAATTTCAGCGTCAAATCAACATTTGCATTCTTGTATTGATTTGACAATTAACCCATAATTTGCCTGGTGATGGGTTACTGTCAAAAGGCTGGATTAATTTTAAAAGCCTCTTATCTGGCTTTCCCATCTGTTTTCTCAAGGACAGTCTACAGAAAAGAATTTCAAAATCTTCCTCCTTCAGATCTTTCTTTTAAGCTGATCTCTTCCCCTACCAATGTTAATGTTATTTCTCTTTTCTCACTCCTCTAGCCATCACTTCTTTTCCCAACTGACCTCATCTTCACTTTTTATCGATACTCTATTTATTGCACTCAATTGTTTCTCTTTATTCAGCTTTTTTTGTATTTTGTTCTATCAATGGCATTCACTTGATACTATTCATAGTTATTCTCATGTTTGCAAATATTTGGTGGTTTCTGATTTTGCAGAGCACCACGTTGCTCTGAGGAGAATACAGAAAATGACACAAACCTCTTTCTACCCACAGAAAATAAATTATCTGTTTAACGTTTACTGAGACTTTCCTGAGTGGCAAGGCACTACATTAGAGGCTGGAGATAACTCTTTTTTGTGTTTTTGGTTTTTGTTTGTTTGTTTCAACCAACTGTTTTACAGTCGTTTGGTGAGTGTGATAAAGAAACAAATCAATAATTAAATGAGACTAGAATGGTGCCAGGTGGGGAGAGAAGCAATGACATCAGACCACAGTAGAACTGGGAGGTGTGGAGAGAGAAAGTCCACAAAAGATCAGCTGACGTTGGAGCTAAGTCAGGGCAGGTTGGGCATTTCGGGCAAAGGGCTCAGCAGTGCAGAGGTATGCAAATAACTGTGATATTATAGAGTAGATACAGAAATATGTCATGAAGAAAAACTATAGTACCAAGGAAATTCAAGGAAAAGGTAAGCATTGGGTTTCATGAAGAAAATGGCATTTAGCCTCAGTGTGGGTGAATTTGATCATCTTTGTATCCTCTTATCGGGCTGAAGGGTTAACTGAGAGCCTGATCCCTTCTAAGCCCACCAGTGCTGTAAGAGGCTGGTATTCTAGACACTCTGAGGGAGAGAATTTGGGAAGAGGGCTTTCCTTGGCATAATACACAAATGTCTTGTATGGATGAGTTGAGTGCAAAACAGAAGGAAGCAGGACCCCCTCACCCCAAGCAGGAACTGAGGAAGGAGGGAGGACAGAGGAGGAAGGAAATCTAATGGCCAGAAATGACAGCTGTGTTGGTGGCTGTGAAACTTCTAACTGCCGTACTTGTGGGTTCAGAGATGATTTATTCTTATTCATCCTGTTAGAAACCTCTCAGAGCTGGTGGATAAGGCTGTTTTAGGCCAATTTTGCAAGTTGTATTTGGACCCCACTTACAGTTCATCTCTTTACACTCCAACTTTCCCATTTTCTCCTCACCTGCATCCTAATACTCATGTTTTCTTCTACAGTGCACACTATGATCCTTTTCACGTTTTGGCTGCCAAAGCCCCCCACTGCAGCACCTACTTAGGCCCCATCTCAGCTACAGGGTCAAC